GTGTATGTATGTGTGTGTGTGTGTGTGTGTGTGTGTGTGTGTGTGTGTGTGTGTGGGCTTGAACTCAGGGCATAAGTGCTGTCCCTGAGCTTTTTGGTGATTAATTGGAGGTAAGAGTCTCTTGGACTTTTCCTCCCTGGGCTGCCTTTATACCAGGATTCTCAGATCTCAGCCTCCAGAGTAGCTAGGATTACAGATGTAAGCCACTTGTGCCTAGTGAGAGCTGAGTTTTTAAAGAGAGGTTTTAACAGTAGGAAGACCCAAGCTACAGAGTTGTTATTTACTTGGCCTTTGGCAAGGACCATTCTGAGTATGGAGGACAGAGATAGCTCTTCTGGCCAGATAAAAAAGGCTAACTTGAAGGTGGGGCTGGGAATCCTAATCAGAGTAAATGGTTTGCGCCTGGGGGGTGTAGTTTATAGTACCTGGGAAACTGTGGTAAAGCAGATAGATGGCCCCCTCATTTCTGGAGAAGACTTTACTTTGAGTCATTAACTTTTCAGATTTTGAACCATATTGGTACAAGAATCCTCAAGAATCACTTTTGGTCCTTCTTGAAGCCTACCTATGTTTTCTCCAACACAGAGGGGGAAAAACAGGTGGAGGATGTGGGGAGCAAGTGAGAATATACTTTTAAAGTGGTTTCTGTGTTCTTTAATAATCTAAGTTTTGAATCTATGATAGTAGTCTAGAGAAGCCCCCTGTTTATCTAAGACTCTTACTTATTTATTTCTTTTGTTGGTTGTGGGGCTTGAACTCTGGGCCTGGGCGCTGTCCCTCAGCTTAGCTCAAGGCTAGCACTCTACCACTTGAGCCACAGCACCACTTCCAGGTTTCTGGTGGTTTATTGGAGATAAGAGTCTCACAGATATTCTTGCCTGGGCTGTCTTCGAACTACCATCCTCAGATCTGTCTCCTGAGTAGCTAGGATTATAGGTGTGAGCCACTAGTGCCCAGCTAAGAGTCTTACTTTTTCCCTTCTTCTGTTCAATACCAAGTGAAGGAAACAGTCACATTTGGGGCACCGTATGTGAACAATTCAGTGTTGCCAGGTGTGGTGGTACATACCTGGAATCTCAGCACTGGGGAGGCTGAGGCAAGAGTTTGGCAAGTTTCAGACCTAGCTTGGTCACATAGCAAGACCTTGTGTGAAAACATTAAAAAAAAAAAAGGTTTCAGTGTTTATGCTGCTGCTTTGTGGGAGAGTAGTTTGCAAATTGGTCACAAGGTGGTGTGCATACATCAAGTTGTCTTTCCAATTGTATTTAAGATTGCTTCTCTGTGGTTTGAACAGGGACCAGGCCAACGCAGTTTCTGGTATCACACCTTTGCAGTTGCATTGTCTGCCTTTGTAAGGTTGAGAGCCTCAAGTTCCAAAGCGCGGCTGGCCCAGTTTGGGGATGGGAGAAGGAAGCAGAAGCAAACAAGGGAAGGGGAGAGGAGAGGTAGCTTGGAGTGCTGGTTCTCTCTGATCTTCTCTTGCCCTAGCCTATGTCCACAGCCACCTAAGATATATTGTGAAGCCACTTGCCACCCTTTGTCCTCCCTGTTTTATTTATTTATTTGCTTGTTTGCTTATTTATTTGTCAGGTGTAGGGCATGAACTCAGGGTCTGGGTGCTGTCCCCGAACCTTTTTGTGCTAAAGGCTAGCACGCTACCACTTCAGCCACAGTGCCACTTCCATTTTTTGAATGGTTAATTGGAGATAAAAGTCTCCAGGGAACTTCTCTGCCCCTGCTAGCTTCCAACTGTAATCCTCAGATCTCAGCCTCTTGAGTAGCTAGGATTATAGGTGTAAGCCACCAGTGTTTGGCCTTGTCTTCCCTTTATACAAGAAGTGTATTCAGTTTGGGGGAGGGAACATATTCCCCAATAGAGGAGATAGTTGTTAGTTGGTACCTGGAGAATAACCAACAAACTCAGTATCTGCTAAGTGTCAAGTCCAAATTGGAGATATAGAAACACGCACAAAAATCATTATGGCATTAGGACTGAAATCTAATGAAAAGATTCACAATTAAGCCACAGAGAGCAAATGTGAAAACATTCGATACATAGAGGGAGTGCATGAAAAATATAAATTGATGCATTCCCTGGAGATCAGAGTAGTAAGTGGAGGGGGAATTTGAACTGGTCTTTAAAAATGCACACAAAGTGAGGTGCTGATGGCTCATACCTGTAATTCTAGCTACTCATGGGCCTGAGATCTGAGGATTGTGGTTCAATGCCAGATGGGCAGGAAAGTCTGTGAGACTCTTCTCTCTAATTAAATCACAGAAAAAGCCAGAAGTGGTGCCATGGCTCAAAGTGGTAGAGCAGTAGCCTTGAGCAAGGAGCTCAGGAACAGCACTCACGCCCTGAGTTCAAGCCTCAGGACAAGGTGGAAAAAAGCATACATTTTTTACTGCCAGGCAGAAAGAATTAGGCAAACCTTGGATATTAATGTCATCATCAAAAGTTAGCATTAGCCACTGTTACAATTTCCTAATCAGGAAAACAAAGTACAACTCAGTAAGTGAATTTGTTCCTCTTTTTAAAATAAAACTGAAAAGGAAACAGATCAAGATAATGTATGGAAGTGGAGGGCTGGCTCAAGTGATTAAAGCGTCAGCCTTCAGCACAAAAGCTAAGCAGGAATCGAGGATCTGAGTTGAATCTCCAGTAGCCGCCCCCCAATAAAAGATAATACAGTCTTGGTGGTGACTTGAATTTTTTTTATCAAGTCTGACAATTCTGATCTTGGAAAGCAGGATCTTTATCTAAAGATGGAGGTATATTTTACCACTACCAAAGAGGCAGGGATTTTGGATTGAGACAACAGATGAGAACTATAGAAGGAAGTATGAGTCTAGAGACAACAATTCTTCCTTCAATATCCTATGCAGTTCTGGGTAAGTATCTTAATCCTGGGCTTGCTTTCCTCATTTGCCAAAGGAAAAAAACTGGGGCAAAAATACTCACTTGGCACTTGATTTTTGAAAAACAGCAAACCAATTAGAATATAAAAATTATATGCTGATTTTTACCAGTTTAGTATATGATCTCTCTCAAGTTCTTGTGCTTTATTGCTTTGCAATATGGACTAAAGCACAGACAAAGTGCCAGGCTCCCAGAAACCCATAAATTAATGGTGAGTGTTATGGTTCATTATATCCATTGGCAGTCACCTAATACTGCTCTGGTGACCTGATGTAATTCTTTCCTAGTTTTTCTTGGCTGGAGTTTATTAGCCAACTTATAGCCAAGAGAAGTGATAAAAGGAAGGGTATAAAAAATAGTAGATTGCTCACACATGATTAAACACTTTTAATGGTGACAAGGAGATGGCTTCATTATGATTCACAGAAATGTATGTATATATACACATTATAATATATATATTCAACTTTTAAAGTGTTAATGTCACAGGCAAAGAATTGCTTCTAAGCCTTTATTCTGAGCTGGTAAATTTCTACTCTGCTCAGGGCCAAATAACTTCTTAAAGTTAGAACCAAGAGTTTTAACACTGGTCTGCATGTTATTTTTGACTTCATAGTCAGATTTGTGAACCATCTCATACTCTTGTTTTTATCTTTTCTTTTTCGGTTGGTCATGGGGCTTGAACTTTGGGCCTGGGCACTGTCCATCAGCTCTTCAGCTCAAGGCTAGCGCTCTACCACTTGAGCCACAGCGCAATTCTGGTTTTTTTGGTGAATTATTGGAGATAAGAATCTTGGGCAGGTGGCTCAGTGGTAGAGTGCTTGCCTTGCATGCATGAGGCCCTGGGTTCAATTCCTCAGCACCACATAAGCAAAAAAGAAAAAAAAAGCTGGAAGTGGCGCTGTGGCTCTAGTGGTAGAGCTCTAGCCTTGAGCTGAAGAGCTGAGGGACAGCGCCCAGGCCCAGAGTTCAGGCCCTACGACTGGACCCAAGAAAAAAAAAGAATCTCACCGACTTTCCTGCCTGAGCTGGCTTTGAACCGAGATCTTCAGATCTCAGCCTCCTGAGTAGCTAGGATTACAGGCGTGAGCCAATGGCACCCAGCTGCCCAGCTCCTTCTAGTGCTTTTATGGCTGGATTTTATCCTTTCCCTCCTTCCCTGCCTTTATTTTTCCCTTCTGCCTTCTATGTCTCTTATTTTGTTTTTACATTACTCTTATTTTCTCTACATTTTTCATTGTTTTTGATATGTTTAGAGTTGACCATAGTATAAGCAGGGAAGGTTAGATTCAACTTAAAAAAATATAGATGGTTATGCAATTTAATCAATGTGTATTATCTATCATTTAAATCTGAAAAACCACCCTTTATCACATGATAAAATGTCTGTTTAATGGTTTTAGAGTGAGGGGCTGAGAAGGTGGCTCAGTGGTAGAGCACTTGCCTTGCATGCCTGAGGCCCTGGGTTCAATTCCTCAGCACCACATAAGCAAAAAGAAAAAAACCGGAAGTGGCGCTGTGGCTCAAGTGGTAGAGTGCTAGGCTTGAACTGAAGAGCTGAGGGACAGCGCCCAGGCCCAGAGTTCAGGCCCCACGACTGGACCAAAAAAAAAATAGTTTTAGAGTGAGACTGCATATTATTTAGTGATATCAAACTCAGATCTTTTCCTGATAGTCAAGCTTCCTAAGAATGTAACTTCTGAGGTTACTTTATCCAAGTAGAAATGTATGTGGCTTTGAGCAAAAGAAGGGAATCTACAGCCCGCGCTAGTGGCTCACACCTATAATCTTAGATACTCAGGAGTCTGAGATGTGAGGATTATCTTCAATTAACCACTAGAAAACCAGAAGTGTGCTGTGGCTCAAAGTGGTGCAGCCCTAGCCTTGAGCAAAATTGGTCAGGGATAGTACCAATGCCATGAGTTCAAGCCCCATGACTGACCATAAGAAAAAGGAAATTAATAAAAAAATAAAAAAGGTAAATGCTTTTCAGAATACTCTTTTAATTTTTGGAAAGAGGCAATCTAGCATAGTAGAAATAATACTGCTCTAGGAGGTAGGAGGCCTGCTGACTCTTTTTTTATTGGTTGGGCAGGTATCAATCTGGTTTGTTCATAATGAAACAATAATAAAGACTTAGAATCTAGCTAGCCTATACTAAGTGCTATATAAGCGGCTTTTTAAAAGTTGGGTATGGTAGCACACAGTTAAAATCCTAGTCAGGGGCTGGGAAGGTGGCTAGAGTGCTTTCCTTGCATGCATGAGGCCCTGGGTTCGATTCCTAAGCACCACATAAGCAGAAAAAGCTGGAAGTGGCGCTGTGGCTCAGGTGATAGAGCGCTAGCCTTGAGCTGAAGAGCTGAGGGACAGCATTCAGGGTCCACTACTGACAAAAAAAAAATTCCTAGTCAGATTTCAACATGAGAGTTGGAGACAGGAGAATAGGCCAGCCCAGGGGAAAAAAAAGTTAGCAAGATTGTATTTCAGCAACCAAGCTGAGCTTAGAGGTACAAATCTGTAGTCTTTGGTAGAGGATTGCAGTCTGGGGCCTGGCTCAAGTGGTAGGGCACTTGGCATAAGGCCTTCAGTTAAAGCACCAGTACCACAAGGGGGAAAAAGAACCAATTAATCAGTCTATTCTATTACAAATTATAGAAACCTTAGATATCAGGCTCTATCACTAGTCAGAAAAACCTAGAAACCCAACATTATTATGAACTACATTCATGCTTAGAACTATCTGTATATATAAAGTTGAATGATTATATGAGACAGCTTATGAAGTCAGTACCTTCCCTTTTCCCTTCATATCTCATGGCCTTTGCATCTGCAAACACAGACCTTGGTCTGTGTTCCTTCCTCCCCACACTTATATGTGTATTCTTTTTTAAAAACAGGCTCTCACTATACAGCCCAAGTTGCCCTCAAATTCACTGCCTCCAGCCTTATCCTCCCAAGTACTGGGATTATAGGCATGTGCCTCCATGCCCAGCAAGTCAGATTTTTACCAACTATGTATTCAAGAACCGCAGAAGGAATTCAGATAGGCCTCAGGAGTGGGAAGAAAATAGCACTCACGAGGCTTGTGTACTTGACATAGGAGGGAAGGAACCACGTGCACTTATTGACTTTGGATATTCATAGGAAACTCAAATTTGAGTGCTGAGCAAGTATGGCCACTTGGGTTCCTTTCAAGATTTCAGAAGCTGTTCCCGACTGTCAGTGGAAAAAAAAATACATTGTTGATGAGAGTAAAAAGGATTCTCTTGGGTTTTCCCATAAATCAGGGAAGCTTAGTGTGTGCTTTAATTTTCAGCTTTTAAGAATTCTAATCAGCTCACATAGACTCAGTTGGGACAATACTATAATACTAGTCTCCTTTAAAAAAAGTTTACAGAGAATGCTGTCTCTTTGATTTCATCACTTCAAAAGGAGATAATTCATTTGAGAAAGATTTATTTATATAGTCTTCCTATGTTCTGTATTTGTGTATTTATGCAATTTATCACAGGTTGAAAGTCTATGAAAGGAGCACATGTGCATTTCTTTGTGTAAGTTGGTAAAAAGCTATGTAAGTCAGCCAGGAGGAAAGGTCAAAAGGCATGTTTCAGCGATTTGGGGACCTATTTGAATGCATGTTATATGCTTTTTGGGTGTGTGGAGAGGCTGGATTAATGAAAATCAGTATTATGATTTTCTTTCTCTCGTTCTCCTTCTATTTCTAGATTGCCAAAATGCTTTGGACTTTTTAACTGAATCTAACAAAGTCCAAAATAAACTTGAGACTGTAAAAACAGAAGCTGCAGAAGGGAGATTCAGTGCCAATGCATCAACAAAAAAGACAACCAGAGTTAGTGGAAGGAAATCTTCCTGTTTTTGTGTTTCCCACAGAGCTAATATTTTATGCAGATGATCAGTCAACACATAAGCAAGTGTTGACTCTGTACAATCCCTATGAGTTTGCCTTAAAGTTCAAAGGTGAGTCTCTCAGGTCTAACTTATGAATTTTTAACTAGTCCCTACTAATCTTTCCCTTCTAAGATAAATTGATTGAAACTCATTAAAGGCCATTGTGATTTTCTCTTGCAGTTTTGTGTACTACTCCGAATAAGTATGTTGTTGTGGATGCTGCAGGTGCAGTTAAACCTCAGTGCTGTGTGGATATGTAAGTCCAAATCACTTCCTGCTCACGTACTTGGCAGTGTATGAATATTTTGTGTTTTAACTTGAAAAAGATCTTCCTTACAAGTTACTCCCACATAGGTGGGTATAATCTTTCTAAAATGTTTCTATCAAAAGCTAAGACATTTCTGGAATATTTCAAAACAGGCCAACCAGATGCTTCTCGCTGTATGTACCGTATTTCTTTGAATATCCATTTCCTCCTGGGGGTTTTAAGTTGAGGCCGAGATGTTCATAAAGTCAAGTTTTGACTTATCCTTTCAATTCCTCCAGCTCTCAGTAATAGTGACTTTAGTTTTCTTTGGAACATTCCTGCTCTTAAAATGACAGTTGAGAAGCTAATAATACTATAGTGTAAGAACAATGTTAATACAAGTTCACCTGCGATGATTCAGGTAATAGGCCTGCAAGTTATGCTACATAAACAGGAAGCAAGTATGTTAGTAGTTATCTAGAAAAGATTATACAGGTGCTTCCACTTAATTTCATTTTAGGAATATCAGATAAATGGCTATTGGTTCAAGTTGTTCATATTTAATTTTCTCTTTAGAACTGGTGGTGACCAGATGGATCCTTTGACCATCCCTTAATTTAAACTATCAAGTAAATTATATTGGTTTAATTCTTCTGTGACAATGAGAAGCAGAGCTCTTATGGATACAATTTCATTATTTCAAAGCCATAAGATGATGTTTGGCACATTTCTTTGGCATAGTCTTTCCAAACAAAAAGTATTACCCTTGACCTAATTGTTTTACATTCCCTAGGAAGAAAGAAGCACATTAAACAGACTTGTAGAAAACTTCTAAAAATCACATTGCCTTATATACTTTTTCTCTTTAGAAAAAAATACAAAAGTCTACTGTTAGTCTTCTGGCACTTTGGTCAGACTGGATTACTTATTCAGTTGCATATTTTATGTGAATGTATATATAAATCAGTTTAAGTGGTGAGTTTTGTTACTTGAACGACATGATACAGTATGTATGTAGGAACAAACTATTTCCTATATTCCTAATTAGGGAATATTACTTTAGACAGATATTTAGAAAGAAATACCATTGTCTTTTGTTTTGTTTTGTTTTGTTTTTGGGTCCAGTTGTGGGGCCTGAACTCTGAGCCTGGGCGCTGTCCCTCAGCTCTTCAGCTCAAGGCTAGCGCTCTACCACTTGAGCCACAGTGCCACTTCCGGCTTTTT